ATGGGAAGGTCGGCTGATTTAGTCTGATTGCTACGAATCTTCCCTGATTGGGACTAATTTGGTCCTAGTCGGGGTACACTTTTTGGTCCAACTTTCTCCGAATTAAAATCCGTTTGCAGCGTTGCGATCAGACAGTCGAACTCTATCCAACGATATAATTTTTATATTCATTCATTATACTTTTTCTGACACCACATTTTTGGGTGTTTGACTTTAACAGAGTCAAAATTGGTTTAATTGACCTTCCTCGTAAAAGGTTCTCTCATTTAATTCACATCAATTATTCTCATGATTTATTTCAACAAATCATTTCAATATTTACATTCTAAACAAATTCTTTATTTACTCTTGATTTGGGTCTGTACTCAGGTTCCCAATCAAGACCACACAAATAGTCCACATATTGGATTTATCGCTATGAGACTTATCCAGATTTTGATATTGGATGTCAAAACACATTTCATATCGGCCCAAAGCCCAACAATAATTTATTTTAATCAAAACAAATTTGATTAATTGATTATTTATTTTTTTTTCATTAATAATTCTAGGGTATGTTTTGGGGCGTTACATTTCTCCCCTTCTTAAAAGGAATTTCGTCCTCGATATTCTTCTTAGGTTCAACGTTCAACATTTTGTAATGATCTCACTGATTATGACCGTTTCATATTCATATGGTTATGTCGCCATCCTTCGAATACGTATTCTCAAGTCATTGATTTCACCAAACTCGTTCAATCTTCGAGAGATTAGTAATTTTCGATTAAGTAAGGTCTTCACTGATCCTTTGATGACAAAAGTTCCTTCATAGTGTGTAGTATTACATACTTGACATACATAACTTTGTTCAGTTACGAGTCTTATCTGTACGTCCTTGGTTAACAGAATCGATTGAAAATTTCTTCAATACTCTTGAATGGCCTTTGATAAGCATAATTGTTGTTTGTTTCAATTCATACGTCGTAACGTAGTCTTTCAATTACTCAAGGGGTCGTTGTCTTCAGGGCAGTAGCCATTTGACTTTTCATCTTGGATTTGAACGTATTTCAGGACAGCGAATCTAACTGTTCATGAGTCTTGATATGTCATATCGTCAGCAGACTGTATTATTAGCGAACACGTCATTGTCAGTAGGTAAATTGAATCTATCTTTGTTGTACAAATTTTGACGGAGGATAATTACCCTTTTTCAAAAGTCACGTTTTCAGAGCCTATATATATCACGATTGTGGCCAGAGCATTTCACATTCTCACATTATGGAAGGAACATCTCGAACTTTTCCTTACACCATAAAATTCGTTGGTTTACTTGGTAGTCATTCTCTTGGTAGAAATCCAAAGTTCATGGCTACGGCGGTGGATTTAGGAAGTGAATTGGTAAGGCAAAAAATTAGACTTACCTATGGAGGGGGCAACGTTGGCCTTCAAGGAGTTGTTGCTTCAACAGTCTATACCAATGGTGGTATAGTTAGAGGCTTCATACCAGGGTACATAGCAGCACGACAGGTCTACGGACCTATGTATGGTGCAGAATACACAGTTTCAAGCAATTACTATAAGCATTTCGAGATGAATCATGTAGTGGAGGCCTTCATTGTACTTCCTGGAGGGATTGATACTATGGAAGGTTTGTTCACTTTGATCTCATGGGCATCTGAAGGGTTGCACAGTAAACCCATTGGTCTCTTGAATATTGACGGTTATTTTAATAACCTAATCAAATTTCTAGATGACGCAGTGAGGCAGAACTTCATGGCTTCTAGTCAGAGAAAACTTTTCAGCTCTTCTTTCTTTATTGATGAGCTTTTAGACAAGCTAGCGTTTGCTAAAGCTTTTCCGGGTCCTGCGCTAGTTATGACGAATTTACAAATCCTGGGGCATTGGACTTAGACTTGCATTTGTAATTTTAGTTGAATTTTTGTTGGAATAATATTGTCCATGAACATTATGAGTTAACCATAAATATTATTCTAAGTTGCATGGCCAGTGCAAGTCAGAAAAATATCTATTTTCAACATCAGAACGCATCATGTAAATATCAACATTTTCTCAATATGGGTCAACATTACACTTTGGATGTTTCCATACCCTCATTTTGTTCATGGATGACGTCGATTGAATTGTCATTGATTTTCCCTTTTTCGAGTGTATGGCACAATCGATTTCTTGCAGGGGTCTCTTCCCATTTGAATTTGGTCGTTCATTTGGATTGACATTCTTATTCTTCAGACTTTCATAGTAATCACTTAGATCTTTTTCGGCTTTGGAGATTAGATCGTATGCCTCAATGAAATCTATAGTTTGAATAGTAGATACGTGCGGCCTGAGGTCAGGTCGAAGTCTTTTGCGAAACTCCTCAATGCGGTCTGCCGCTGTACTCACCAGCGTGGGTGCAAATTGAGCGAGATGGACAATCTTTGTCGGTATTCAGGGAGTGTCATATCTCCTTGCTTTAATTCGATAAATTCAGCACGTTTCTCTTCACGGAATCGAGCTGGTATATATTCCTTCTTGAACGCCCAATCGAAGAATTCCCAAGTCCAAGGTTTGGGTGTGTTTGGATTTTCGTCAGTACGTTTCCACCATTCGTAGGCTTCCTTGCGGAGCAAT